GTCGAGGGACTGCGCCCCCCCCCCTCCCCGAGACCTCCCCTTGCCCGGGCCCCTGAGGTGCCTCCGGGGGAGCAGCCCACAGCGCCCACCTGGCCCGCAGGTGCATCCGCCCCGCCCCGCAATCAGGCCCAGCGCCCCCCAACCCCCCCGAGCGCCTGGGGCTCCGCGCCCGCCTGGCCGGGCAAGCGGGGAACCGGTGGGTTTAGCTCCTGACCCCCGCGGCGGCTTGGCGGGTTGGGAGGTTCATTGGTAAATGTCAGCAAAGGTCAGTGTCGCCCCCACGCTCGCAAACAACCCACGAAGAAATGTTTCCGTCGCCGGTAATCGAACTTCGCCAGGAAAATGCCGGCTGAGAACTTAGTTGGTTAGCCTTTGGCTGGAGGAGATTTATCATAGAATATCAGAGTTGGAAGGGACCTCAAGAGGTCATCTAGTCCAACCCCCTGCTCAAAGCAGGACCAATTCCCAGCTAAATCATCCCAGCCAGGGCTTTGTCTTTTACTTGGCTGTGTGTGGCTGTGATGCTGTCCCCTTCCCCCATCGTCCTGTGAAAATGTAAAGGGATAAAAACATGCTTTAAAATAAATATTGCTGTTATAGAAATCATGAATTCCACTATTTGCAGTGGTGGTGCAGCTGTGGGATATTAGGATCCCTGGATATGAGCGAGACAAGCTGGATGAGGTAATATCTTTTATTGGATGCGCTTCTGGATATACACAGAGGGAGATTCTGCAAGCTACTCTCTGTACTTTAGTTACACATGAAGGAGGGACGGCTCTTATAAAGGATAAGCTGTTCCCCAAGAACAATACAATCATACTCACTTCAGAGACCCTTGACTTTAGTGGGATTGCAAGTGGGTCTAACAGAGATCATGGCTGGAAATCAGGAGAATTGGATTCTATCACTCTGTCACAGTAAAATGGAGATAATGCTTACTCGCTTATGTCCCATGCCTTGAGATCTGCAGCTGCAAAACATTATTTAAGGGCAAAGTATAATGCCCTTTGACTATACCACCAAAAGATCAGAGAACTGTGCTACATGTCATGGGAGTGAGCTAACGGCTCTGGAGCCTGCAGGACACCACGCTCTTGAGATGGCTTTAACAGGCAAGACAATGGGTCTCTGAAGCCCATCTTGTTGTACAGTTGTAACAGGGCAGAATTTAACCAGAAAGATTAGGACCAAATATTCCAAGTATTTAAGTACATGCACTTATTGTGATTATGAACACAAATGGGGTAATTATGTATGTAAATAACTGGAAGTGGCCGCTTATGTGCAGTTATCTGATTTCTGTGTGTAACCTCAGTAATTGCACAGACAATTGTGTGCCTAAGCTCTGAGAATCTGCTCCCTAATTTCCTTTTCCTCAAATCATGGTACATATAAGGTCACTTATTTAGATAGAATATTTCCCCCCATGCAAACAGATATTGGGTCAAATGCAGCCCTGGAATAAAGAGAACCCACTCCACTGAAATCCGTCAAATTACACCACTGCCCCTTACTTAAGTGCATTCCTAAAAGGATCTTTTGATCTGTAGTATGTTTGAAAGTGGATGAACAGGTGTTCGAGCATGTCTTTCTTCCTACTCCATCCCACCCCCCAAAAACCCAAACCATTTTATTTTAGAAAAAAAACCCAATGCACCTAATTAATGAACATGAAATGTCTTAACTCCAGTATATTTTTCAATTACCTTTTCTTCTGTATTGCTAAAGGAGTCCAACTAACATCTCCCTAGAAAGAATTCCATTAAAATGCAAATGAACAGTTTGCAGTAGTTGTCTATGTATGCAATGAAGGGCACAATTCTTAGTTTAGGGAATACAAAATTAAAAGTAATGGGCCTGATTTTTAGACCTCAGCCTCCTTTTATGTAAACCCAATATTGTGTGTGGACATCGCTGCACATTCAGTTGAAAGTCTCTGCCACCTGTGTGCAGGTGACAGAATTTTAACACACAAATCCCCATTGTCCATGTTAAATGATCAGATGGGTTTTACATGTGAACATATCCTCACATGTACGTACAGATATTAGAATATTTCCACTGTGGTTGCAGCAGTTGTATGCTTTAAAGATGAATCCCAGTGCCTACAATTACAGGTGCACAAGTGGAAACTGGGTTGTGGGGGAGGAACACACTAAATCAGGCCATATAACTATTTCTAAATATGTTTGTACCACTCTGTGTTATCCCTAGGTTTCTCTGTTTCTAGCTGTAAACCATCCTATTATTCCTTTCCTGGTCTCTTCTCTTTCCAAGACTCTTCTGATTCCAGGCAGGAGAATTCCCCTATCACCCCTGGACTCCTTCAATTCCAAGCATGCATGCCCTAGTTCTACCCCTACCCAGGATTTCATCCTCCTCTCTTTGTTAGAGGAAAGTATTTATTTATTTAGTTGTGTGTGTCATGCTGGACTCACTCCCCCATGAGCTGCAGCAGCTGCAGACTGGGCACTGCCCTGGGGAATGCTTTCGAAGAGGGGGAGGGTGGAGAGAGGCTGAGTTTCCTGAAGCCGCACAACACAAAGGGCTGGGGAAAGCTGGACGGGTTTAATACACTTGAGCCTGTATTTTGCTGTGCAGAGGTAGGGTTTTGTTTGTTTGTTTTGATAAGCAGTTTGTATTGCGTTTTAAGTAAGTATGCAATTACACAATCTGTCCTCAGAAGAGGGGAAGCTGCTCCCCAGAAAGAAGGAAAGAACTGACAGTGGGAAAAGAAGAGAAAAGGAGAAAAGACGGCAGGAAAGGGAGGATGGTGTGGTTAGGGTGACTACATAGCAAGTGTGAAAAACTGGGATGGGGATGCAGGGGGTAGCAGGCCCCTATATAAGACAAAGCCCCAAATATCGGGATTGTCCCTATAAAATTGGGACATCTGGTCACCCTAGGTGTGGTCTAAGGTGCTGAATGAAGTGCATGTCAACTGGAAGCATGATACAGAGTTCAACAGTGTGTAACAGTGGGCCATTGATGATATATGTCAAGGATTAAAGCCCACGTGTTTTCAGATTGAGTGTAACTCTTCTGTATCCCACCCTTTCCAAGGCTGCCAAATCACAAAGCTCATAAATCCAGA